ATGACAGCTATCTACTGAGAGGCCCAGGGTCCCAAGGTCGCCTCAGCGTAGGTGCGAGGGGTCAGGATGTCAAAGGCGTCTGGGTCACCCTCAGGGACTAGCAGCATGGAGCAGAGATGGGGAGCAGCCTCCGACAGGAAAGCAAGCTCGTACTGCCTGTCCTCTAGGACGTCACTGCCAAGGGCAAGAGCACCCCCGACGGACGGAGCGCAGGCATGGCCAGAGACCAGAACTGTGGCGTAGTCAAGGCGACGAGTATAGGCAAAGTTGGCGACAGCAGCGACAAGAGAGTCAAGACTGGAGACAGGGACAGACGGGTCGGTAACGAGGGAGGCAAGTACCCATGGAACAAGGGGACAAGCAGCACGAAGGTAGTCAGACAGAGGGGGAGGCGCGACAGCGAGCGACGACGGAGGAGGAGACGAGAGGAGGGAGGACAAGACACATGAGAACGAAGCAACATAGGGTGAGAATGCGGAACACGAGAGATAGGACGAGCACGAGAGGGACGGCGAGACCAGACGTGAGATGGAGACGTCAGGTCAGGAGATAGAGGAGGAGTTTTAGGAGGAGTTTTAGGAGGGGATTGAGGTGGGAAACGGGCCGGGGACGAGTCCGACGGAGGAAACACAGGACCGTGGATAGGAAGGGGAGGAGGCGGCGGGGGAGGCGCAGGCGAGCGGTCAGGGGAAGGCAGGCCGAGCAGGCGAAGGGCGGACATTGGTGGCGACTGCTGCTTCTGCCGCTCAACGCCGACAGCCGGACCGCCAGCTGCACCGCGACTACCTCCAGATTACTCCACTCCCCGCACCCCCAGAACGAGCACTCCCAGAGCGAGAACCCTCTCCAGCACCGGTGCCACCTCCAGGCTCGCTGGGACAAGCCACAAAAGGAACCCTAGGACTAACACCCTCCTCAACGCCAGCACCCCAGAGTCCACGAACGGCTGCTGCTGCTGCAACGGCAGCGGAGGCTGCTGCAGCGCGCGGCAGCTGCGGTGGCGGCGACGGCTGCTGCGGCGGCAGCGGCGACGGTTGCTGTGCGGCGGCAGCGGCGGCGGCGACGGCTGCTACGACGGTGGAGGAGGAGACACCGGGGGAGGGACAGGCAGCGAGAACTAAACCGCAGGGCCACCAGAGTCAGCCGACTCCTCGACTGGGACAAACGATAGAGGGGAGTGACGTAAGACACACTAGATGGAGCAGGACGGGGAGGAACGTGAGCAGGGGCTACCGGGGGAGTGGGGACCAGAAACAGGGGAGGGGAAACCGGGACACCGCGGTGGGGAAATCGATGCTAAAGAAAAAAGACTCGTCAAAAGTGGCGTCACGGGAGTGAAAGGAGCGGTGAGACGGCGGGTGGTAAAAGTGCCGGTCAGACGAGTCAATGGGGAAACCGAGGAAGACACAGGGGACAGTGCGGGCAGTGAGCTTGTCCGCGCAAGAGGCACGAACGTGAGCGAGGCAGCCCCAGACGTGGAACGCAAACGCGTCACTAGGAAACCCAGTCCAAAGAAGGGTCGGCAAAAACCTGCGGCCGTTGGGAGCGCGGCCAGAGGTTAAGCTGGTGAGCGGCGTAGCAAACGGTGAATGGCCACAGAAAATGGGGTGCATCGGCATGAATCATGGAGCTACGATCCACCTCCATGACCAAGCCGATGCGTCGCTCAGCGACCCTATTCTGCTGCAGGGAGTCTGGTAGGGTGTACGACTGGGTTATGCCCTCTGCACAACAGAACTGTCCAAGTCGACCAGAGACGAACTCTACGCCACGGTCGAAGTGGAGACACAGCACAGGGAGACCGCGGTGGAAGCGCCTAGCTACGACCCACGGAATGAGAATGTCAGGCACGTCGGCCTTCCGCTCCAAGGGAAACACCGTGGTGTAGCGCGTGTTGTCGTGAACGAGCACTAGAAAGTAGTGCTCGCGACGCGGTCCAGGGATGGGGGCTGGGCCCCAGACGTTGAGGTGCAGGGTCTGGAGGGGTGCGGTGGGACGAAGCGTCGATATCACAGGATCGAATGACTGAGGAAAGGTTGCACTATCGATTAGTACAAGGTGCTTTTATACTTCCAGAGTACATCAGGTAACCAGGTTTATCTTACCCTAAGGGAATAGACCCTTCTAGAAGATAGAATCACTTTGCGTATAGCCACGCCACGCGATTACGGCAGGAATACGCTAGATATAGCGCACCAGTACATCCCAAGCCTGGTCGGTGATATAATTATAATAGCAGGATAAACCCAAGGTTAATGGAAAAGAGAGAATAGGAAACCAAATGAGATGAGATAAAAAGAGAAATGAAAGAGGAAGGAAATAAGAAAAGGGACAAGTGGTATAACGGGGTCGTACTCTCACAGAGGAGGAGTGAGGAGCACGGCGCAGCCGGCCCTCGACGCAAGGGGTGAACGGCGGCGCAGGCGAGGGAGGCTGGGTAGGAAGCGACGCAGGGAGACCTCGAATGAGGCCGTGCTGAGACATGTAACGCAGACGCGGGAGTGCGGAAAGACCCAGACAGTGGTGCCACAGAAGCGACGGGTGGGTGAGCGACCGACACGAGCAAGCTGCAGTGACCTGGGTAGACGCAGGGCCCAGGGAGGACGTGCCCACTGGAGGGGAAGCAGTGTCCAGCGTAAAGAGGCCAGACTCCGGGTCCCAGGGGAATATCGCAAGGGGGGAACCTGAGGCGGCATCGGTACAGACAGGGTACCGCTCGTGACCAGGAAACGTAGTGGTGACGCCGAGGTCCTAAAGACAGCCGATACCAAATAAGTTCCTGGAGAACAAGCGGATATGCCGGCCTGTAAGGGAACCCGGGGATCGGTGGACAGGGAAGGGTAGTGTAGCTGCGAGCAATGACAGGACCAAAAATTGGGTCTGCTAGCACGAGAGCAGCAGGCGTGGTTGCGGAAGAAGCAGGCAGCCGCACAAGAGTCAAGTGTGAAGGACAGCGAAGCAGTAGCGGCAGACGTAAGAGGAGCGAGGGTGGAGCCTAGTCTAGACAAAGCAAGCGGTCCTCCGCCTGACGCAACAGGGATGTCTTTACTACACAAAGGTGCTACGCCTAAGCTAGAGAACACATGGTAATAAGATCCGGACACACTAGAAGCGTCAGCATACAGAGAATGCAAGTCAGAACTAATATGATCCATGTCTTGTAAAAAAATCGGCACACCGTGGTGCAGCAGACTGGGCCAGTCAGGGAGGTGTGGGGCCGGGCCGAAGCGGCGACGAAAGAGGTCGTCGAGGTGGCGGAAGTAGCGGGTGGTCGGGTGCGGGCAGCGGCACACAATGCCACGGAGTGGCCCGGTCTGGAGCTGGTACTGGCAGCCCACAACACCGAAGCCACTAGTAGACGCTGAGCTACGAGGACCGCCGCCGCAGACACCACCTCCAGGGGGCTCCTGGCCACCCCGGCGGGAGGCGAGCCTACGGCTGCTGCTGCTGGTGCTGCTGCTGGTGCTGCTGCTATTGCTGCTGTGGCTGCTGCTGCTGCTGCTGCTGCTCCTACACACCTGCCCCGGCCCCCTCGTCAGAACCACTGTCGCTGCCACCACCATCACGCCCTCCCTTGGGGCCGCGACGGCCCCGACGCTGTCGCTGCTGCTGCAGGAAGGCCGCCGCTGCGGTCTCAGTGGCACGAGCAGCCGTAGCAGCCGCATCGGTAACGTCGGTGTACGTGCACTGGGAGGGAGCACTGCCCTGAAAGATAGGGACTGCCACAACACCGCTCGACTGAGCGATAGTGTGCTTCCGAGTCTCTATTTCAGAAAGGGCAGCGACAAAACTGGTCAGGGTGAGGTCACCAGGGTGCTGGCATTTAAGTGGTCGCGGGCAGTGACTAAGCGGTCAGGCAGGCGCATGGCAATAAGGTACAGGGTAGCGCAGAACGGCGGGGGGAAGGCAGTGAGCTTGGCAGTAGTGCTAGCAGCGCAGTAGATAGTCTCTAGTGCACGGAGGTGACTGGCGAGATTAGCGACAGTGGGGAAAGTAGAGAGATCGGGGAAGAGCATTGGGAGGATCAAGCGTCCAACTGAGGCGGAGGCAGGCGTGGGGTAGCGTGCAACTACTGCATCTAAGAAGTCTTTGGCGTTCGCTACAGCAGTGAAACGCGGGCGCTCGGAAAGGGGAAGCACATGACTAATGGCAAGCTGCGCTACAGCATCGCGAGAATCCTAGACAGCGCGAGCAAGTGCAGCAGCAGTGAAGGCCTCACTCTCAGCAGTGGTGGGGTCAGCAGAGAAGGGATCAGGCGCGGAGGGGTGGGGAAGCAAGCCATCAACATGCATATCCAGGGAGTGCCCATCCTGGCGCTGACTTGTGAGGTGCCGGCGAAGATCGACAAGCCAGGCGGCGAAGTCGATCGCGTGCCCCTCCGCGAGGGGCCGGCTAGGCGCGAGGGCCGAGCGACGGCGCGAGGGGCCGACTACGGCGCGGGTGAGGGCCGGCTGGGCGGGAGGGGCCGACTGGGCACGAAGGGCCGGCGAGGCGCGAGGGACCGGCTGGGCGCGGGGGGTCGGTGACGGCGCGAGGGGCCGGCTTGGGCACGAGGGAGGGCCGGCTGGGCGCAGGGGGGCCGGCTACGGCGCGAGGGGCCGGCAGGGCGCGAGGGGCCAGCGACGGCGCGAGGGGCTGGCTACGGCGCGAGGAGCCGGCTAGGGCGCGAGGGAGGGCCGGCTAGGTGCGAAGGGGCCGACTAGGCGTGAGGGGCCGGCGACGGTGCGTGGAGCCGGCTAGGGCGCGAGGGAGGGCCGGTTAGGTGCGAGGTGGGGCCGGCTAGGGCGCGGTAGGGGCGGGCGAGGCGCGGTAGGCTAGGGTGTGGGGCGGAAGCGGGCTGGGGGGGCGGACCTAACCTACTCATGATACCATGTTAGAATACTAGAATAAATGAAACAAGAGAGAACAAGCAAGATCTAGGGTTCAGTTGTACTCTCTGAGAATATACACCCAATCTAGCCTATAACTTCTACATGCAAATGTATGTATAAGTTGACACCCTTGTATGATCTCAGAGAATCAAAACAATTTCCTCTCATCAATTACATCTGTTGGCTTCCTTCATAATAGAAGCACGATCCCGCTCGAAATATAGGAAGCCGACAGCCATGAGCATCGAATTGCATAGTTCACCAACACTACGCCAAGTCAAGGTGCTTCAACTCTCTGTCTCTAAAAACCCTATCTACGACGTCTACAGGAAGTGCGTAAGCTGGGTCTACTGGCTTGAGATTGGGGTACTCCAACAAGCTCAGGCCTGTTGTAGGAGGAGAGGAGGGGAGGAGGGGAGGGGGGAGGAGGGGAGGGGAGGAGGGGGAGGAGGGGAGAGCGGACAGACAGGGCACATATATTATGCTAGCATCAAGGATTCAAGGTAGGTGTAAGCTGGCTCTACTGTCTTGAGATTGGGGCACTCCAACAGGCTCAGGCCTGTTGTAGGGGGGAGCAATGCACAGGGGAGGAGAAATGCACAGGGGAGGAGCAATGCACAGGGGAGGAGCAATGCACAGGGGAGGAGCAATGCACAGGGGAGGAGCAATGCACAGGGGAGGAGCAATGCACAGGGGAGGAGCAATGCACAGGGGAGGAGCAATGCACAGGGGAGGAGCAATGCACAGGGGAGGAGCAATGCACAGGGGAGGAGCAATGCACAGGGAATGGGCGGAGGGTCTAAGAGAGTGTTCCTACACCTCTCATCGGACATGGTACCCCTTATAAGACGTGCGAGAAACTGTACAGTGCAATTCTGACGTGAGTTTTTTAGTGCGGTTTAGAACGGTGCGCCACGAGTTTGAAATGAGGTTTATCTGATAGGGGGTCCTAGGAACACGCTCTAGGGCACATAACATGTGAAAGACATCGAAAGACATTCTATAACTACTCACCAGCGATGCCAAAGAACGTGTGAAAAACATCCACCATGTCATTGGGACGATCAGAGATGCCCCCTCTCTCCTCATCCTGCATGCATGGAGGCATGCACGGGTAAAAGAGGTGGAGAATCAAGGAGTGAAAGGGAAGACATCCCCCATGTCATTGGGACGGTCAGAGATGCCCCCTCTCTCCTCATCCTGCATGCATGGAGGCATGCACGGGTAAAAGAGGTGGAGAATCAAGGAGTGAAAGGGAAGACATCCCCCATGTCAATAGGACGGTCAGAGATGCCCCCTCTCTCCTCATCCTGTGTGCACCGGGGCATGCATGGGTCAAACAGACAGGCAGAGAGTCAGCGGTGCATGGGCAGAGAGGGAAGGAGAATGGAGGGAAAAAAAACATCCACCATGTCATTAGGACGGTCAGAGATGCCCCCTCTCTCTCTCCTCATCCTCTGTGCATGCAGGGGTAGGTGGGTGGGTAAATGCAGCAGATTCGTGCACACACACATGGCCAAACGCCAAGGATTCATCATGGTGGAGATGCCCTCTCTCCTCATATTGTGTGCATGCAGGGTAGCTTAATGCACCGGATATGTGCACACATGGGCCAAATGTCAAGGATTCGTCATGGTGGAAACTCGTCACAGCGGCAAACATGCGAGATCACCTGGCAGTGTTGCAATCACCTGGCACTGTAGAATGAAGTGCTTGAGCTTCTCTGCACTAATCCAATGCACTCTGTCGATGAGCACAAGGCTGGAGAGCACCCACCAGGAGTAGCACACCTGAGAGGAGAGCGGAAAGAAGATGAGAGATGACAAGTGGCAGCAAGGCGTGAGGACCTCAGCGGATGAAGAGAGGTCCTTAGGCGCCATGCACTCTCTGCACTCTCTGCACTCTCTGCACTCTCTGCACTCTCTGCACTCTCTGCACTCTCTGCACTCTGTGCACTCGGTCAATGAGCACCAGGCAGGACAGCACCCACCAGGATTGAGCAAGAGAAAAGAGTTCACAAAAAATCGCTTAATAGGCTGGACCGGAGGATGAGAGCATGGCAGAGTTAGACCAGCTGGCCTGCCACCTGCAGGAGATGGGAAGACTCGAGAGTGTCCGTGTGTGACGACCCACCACGAGCAACAGTGGAAGGAAGCCTGGACACGCACATCTGGTAGCTCCTCTGGTCGCCCCTTTGAGCCCCCTTGCTGGCCCCTGGCGCGCGTACATCCACCACCACCCCAGGAGGTAAGACGCGTCACGAGTATCCGAATACTCACAACTCTACTACTCGACATAACAAAACACACAACTTGGAGGTTCTCCGGCCAGCCGTTGAGGCCCCCTGCTGGCACCTGGCGCTTGCACAGCCACCACCACCCCAGGAGGTAAGAAGTGTCAAGAGTATCCGAATACTCTCAACTGCCAGACATCTCAACGCTCACATCTAGTGTGAGCGTTGCCAGCAGGCCGGCTCAATGTCCGAATACTCTCAATGGTCAGCAGCTTCTCTGACTGGCCATTGAGCCGCCCTGCTGGCACCAATGAGAGCACTGGCTCCCAGCAACTCGACATTGCACGAACAAACACACGTGCTTATGCCTGGTAGCTCCTCTGGTCGTCCATTGAAACCCCCCTGCTGGCACTTGGCGCTCCGCAATCTGAAAGCCAACATTGCTCGCATAAGGAGACCCAACACGCTCAAACAAGCATGGAGCCCAAAACGCACTCACATCTGGGAGCTTCTCTGGCCGGCCATTGAGCCCCCCTGCTGGCACCTGGCGCTCCGTGTGTTATGAGTCTATTTTTGAGTCCGACTTAAAAATAGACTCATAACACTCCAACACACACAAACAAAGCCTGGGGCCCAAAACACACTCACGTCTGGTAGTTTCTCTGGCCGGCCGTTGAGCCCCCCTGCTGGCACCTGGCGCTCGCACAGCCACCACCCCAGGAGATCCCGATCCACCAATGAGAGCGCGCCAGCTATGGCTAGTGCAGCCACGCAGCAGAAGACTGGATGGAGGGAGGAGGGAGGGGGGAGGGGGGAGCCGGGGAGGTGGTATTAGAGATGGAGAAATGTAAGAGAGGAAGATCAATCCACCAATGAGAGCGTGCCAGCAATGGCTAGTGCAGCCACACAGCAGAAGACTGGGTGGGGGGGGGGGAGAGGTTGGAGGGGGGATGAGAGGGAGTGAATAGGGGAGAAGAAGAATAATGAAGGGAGAGGTGGAGGCGAGGGAGAGGGAAGGAGGGTATGTTTGAGAGCGCTCCACAGAAGCACGGAGGAGAGCTATGGCAGGCGCGATACCACAGCAGAAGACTGGGTGGGGGGGGTAAAGGAGGATTGTGAGGGGAAGAAGGCGACGAGAAAAGTGGATGGGATATTTGAGAGGGAGCCGGCTATAGTGGAAACATTTTCTAGAATTCTCAACAATGAGATTTCTAAAAAATTAGAATTCTCAAAAACGAGAATTCTCAAGAATGAGAATTCTAAAAAATGAGGGGAAGGAGAAGAGAATAGAGGAGGGGGTATTTGAGAGCGAGCCGGCTATTGCTAGTGTTGCCACACACACAGCAGAAGACTGGATGGAGGAGGGAGGGGGTGGAGGGAGGTTAGGGAGGCTGGGAGGGGGTAAGGAGAGGGAGTGACGAGGAGGAGAGTAGAGAACAAGGTTCCTGACAGCTGGCACTGACAATATACATTGATATATAAAAATGAAAGGTCTCTCACTCACTCTGGCCTGCGTGTGACTCGCCGCCCGGGACGGACCCGAATCCGCCGTCAAAGTTCTGACAGCTGGCGATGAATCGGACAGCTGCGGGGAGGTCGATGGCGTGCGTTCGATCCAGGAGGGATAAGCAGGAGATGGCGCAATAGGGAAAACCTGTTGGGGGAGGGGTGGTGGGGGGGATGAGGGGAAGGCATGTGAGAGGGTAGATTGGACGGCTGTCGGGAGGTCGATGATAGGCGATCCAGGAGTGATAGGCAGGAGACGGCACTGTAGGAGAAGCTGAAAGGGGTGGGGGGGGGGGGAGAGAGAGAGTGGAGGATTGAGGGCTGGAAGGACAAGACGGGAGAAGGGGAAGGGAGATGATACAGAAGAAGAAAACTTTCGAGTCAACTCAAGATGAGGGCTGGGAGGTCAATGGCGTGCGAGGGGTCAAGAAGGAGACAGAACAGAAGAAGAAGCTGCGGATGGGGGGACGGAGGCGAGAGGGGGGGGGGGGGTGTGAGGAGGGGAGGGGGGCAGGGAGAGTCTGCTTTTGAGTCGACTCAAAAGGAGACAGAAGAGAAGAAGAAGCTGGGGATGGGGGGACGGAGGCGACAGGAGGGGGGGGTTGAGGAGGGGAGGGGGGCAGGGAGAGGACTCAAGGGGGGACGTGCTGTTACAGTCCCGCCTACTACATTTGAGGCGCCTATTTTCATATGCCACTCACCGTGTGTCCACCTCTCCCCATGCATCTCCGATGAACGACCCGTCTGGTTGTTGCAGGCCCGCAATATCTGCCATAGAAACAACCCACGCCCGTGCAACAGCCACACGCCCGTGCAACAACCCATGCCCGTGCAACAACCACCCGCCCGTCAATGCGCCGCCGAGTCGATTTAAGGACTACCACAGAAATGCGTTTTTGAAAATAATGGCAAAAGAAAGGGTAAGCAAGCGAGGGACTGACATGTGGCAATGCGGTCGGCATCGACGGCGTCCATTTTGTCCAATAGCGCAAGTATCTGGACGGCGCTGAGCGTGTACAGGAGATGCGAGTCGTGGCCAATGCTGCCGCCAAACCCGCCTGAAAATAGGAGTTGGGAAAGGAGGGAGCATGTGGAGGAAGAATGGGTGAGGAGGATCACAGGTTCAGTAGAATGGCTGCGTCAGTAGCGCAAGTATTTGGACGGCACTGAGCATGTAGAGCAGAAGATGCGAGTCGTGACCAATGCTGCCGCAAAGCCCATCTGAGGGAAGGAGGGGGGATGCAACAGGAAGTTGAGGGAGGGATCTGGAGGGTACTGAGGGTGTGTAGAGCAGAGCAGATAGGAATCGTGACCAATGCTGCCGCCAAACCCACGTGAGGGAAGGAAGAGAGATACAACAGCAAGGTGTGGGAGGGAGAACAACCAATTTGACCAGAAGGGCGAGGATCTGGACGGCACTGATGGTGTAGTGTAGTGTAGGGCACCATGCCAGGGTTGTGCATCTCTCCCAGCCTTCCCACGAGGTCCATGGCTGTCAGGCCCCAGTAGCCCTCCCCCCCCCCCCCTTCCCTTCACCGCCCCCTTCCCCGCCCCTTTCCCCCCACCCACACAGCTTGTCGCCGTCTGGCTGCTGGCAGGTGAGGATCCAGGGTGCCATGCCTGCCAGAGTTGTGCATCTCTGTCAATCTTCCCATGAGGTCCATGGCTGTCAGGCCCAAGTAGGCTCCGCTCATTCTCAGATGCTCCGTTGCCCCAGTAGGCTCTGTCTCACACTCACTCACTCACTCACTCACTCACACACAAACATACCATCCGGCTGTTGGCAGTTGAGGATCCAGGGCACCATGCCAGGGTTGTGCATCTCCCTTAGTCGTCCCATGAGGTCCATGGCCGTCAGGCCCCAGTAGGCTCCGCTCATTCTCAGATGCTCCGTTGCCACGTACTCGATTCCATCTGTCTTCTGCATGATCAAAATAATGATGTGCACAGTGTTGTAACATTGTTAAGATAATGATGTTGACATTGGTTGTAACAATGCTCCGTTGCCACATACTCGATTCCCTCTGTCTTCTGCTTGATCAACTAATGACAAAAAATCAATGTTAACCTAGTGCAAACACAGAAACAGAAACAGAAACAGAAACAGAAACAGAAACAGAAACAGAAACACGGGGTAAAAAGAGGAGAAAACTGCAGCTCAGGATCTCAGATTCTCAAGGCTGACTAGTAATGCACGGAACGCCCTGCCTCACAGTCTGCACGAGCCCACTCATAGAGGAGCAAGCGGGGTAAGAAGAGGAGAAAAATGCAGCTCAGATTCTCAAGGCTGATTAGTAATGCACGGAACGCCCTGTCTCATATTCTGCACTCATACACCACCCAGAATAACTCAATATAAGAGGAACAAATGCGGTAAGAGGAGCAAAAATCTCCCTGTATCACGTACTTTGTCCAGGTTCTTTATATACTTGGCGTGCTTCACCATCAGCAACCGTCCTCGTGGATTCTCCGGATCAATCTCCTCTTCCTCTTCTTCCTCTTCCTCAACTTCCCCTATCTTCTCCTGGCCTGCAGTAACCCCCGATTCTCCCCGCGGTTTCACTCCAAGCGAAGAAGCCGACACTTCCTCCTCGCTCCCAGCTACTACATTACCGGATGGGCTTCTCTCTCCCTCTGCAGCAGAAGCCTGTTCAAAGTGAGCTGATAACGGTTCAGTGTCAAAAGAAGTCTGTTCAAAGTGAGAGTCACCACCTGCGGATCTCTCGTCACTCCGGATTTCACCGGCTGATCCCTGTTGGACATTCTGGGATTTCCCCGACGGCTCTGCTTGATCGGCGTTTCTATCGCCGTGATCGGCAGCCATGTCGGACCCGCTAATGCGCAGATCAGGTATTACCTTTGCTGCTTGTCAGTACTACGCTGTGCCGAACCAGGAAAAGCCTGCTCGCAGGTTACGTCTTGAGTTTCACACTTCCCCTGATATGTTCTGGCTTGGTAGTGTACTGCGGTACGAACCCCAGAGCTAGCGCGGAGCAGAATCAAAATTTGTTTGGTCATGACGAATGATCCGTGCAAAATGGCCATCTGCGGTTTAGAATGGTTATGAGGTATAATTGAAGTTGCCCCCAGGTACTAATTTCTGCTCTCTTTTTGATGTGTTCCTTTGGCCGAAATTTCGAACAACCAGTATCAGATGTATGATTTCTCACAACAGGAAGAGATGAAGGGTGAAAACAAGGATGATTTCGAACATAGAGTAGTATGCAGTGTGGATTGTAGCAAGTCACGTTATAGAACCTTCACAAAAGCGTACAAGCATCAGGGTTTTCCTCTTCCAAAGCAGACTCTTGATGCGTAGTGCAACCTCCACCTGCTCCACCTCGCTCTTGTGCAATCTGGAGACTCCGTTTCTAGCGACGAACGCCAGTTTCAAGATTCAGCCATAGCTGAATCACTGTTGTCGCGGCCTCTCCGATTCAGCAGCATCAGTCAGTAGATCAGCCAGCAGCCATGGATCCAGATGCGTTGGCCAAGGCGTTCGTGCAGCACTATTACACCACCTTCGACACATCCCGCAATAACCTGTACGCGTTGTACCAGGATCAGTCGATGCTGACGTTCGAGGGTGAGAAATTTCAAGGCGTACAAAACATTCAGAACAAGATCTCCAGCCTGCCGTTCCAGTCCTGCACGCACATCGTCAGCACGGTCGATTGCCAGCCGTCCGGCCCTGGAGGCGGGATGGTCGTGTTTGTCAGCGGGAGCCTGAAACTCGCAGATCAAGAGCATCCACTCAAGTTTAGCCAGGTAGGTCGCCGTATGACCCGGATCTCCTAAGACGAGCGCTCCTGGTCTAAAGCGAACTAGACCAGGAGCGCTCAAGTTCAGCCAGGTAGGTTGGCGAGTAAAACGCATTTTCAACTGACGAGCATTTTTTTCCGCAGTTTCGTCGGTATTAATCTCACTCGACGCGCGTCGTTGGTTTGTTTGTTATCTATTTGCTTGAGCTCCGCTGATCCTCGGTTCGTTCGTTCATTTGTGCAGATGTTTCACTTGATGCCTACGCCAGCTGGTAGCTTCTACGTCTTGAACGACATCTTCCGGCTGAACTATGGTTAAGCTGATTTCCTGGTGTATATTTTTATGGGACAAAGAGGATGCGCTTTTGTACCCAAAATGGTGAATCCGCCACAGACCCAGCCCTAGCGCAGATGGCAGTGCTTTCCTAGTCAAGATGGGTGTACGATGTTGAAACGCCTGTTTCAATTCATAAGGAGACTACTTGGTCTAGTGGCTGGTCACAGGGGCGGTGGAGAGAGGGTGCAGCTACTGGGAGCACCTGATTTGGATGAGGATGTCATACATCAAGAATGGCTGCTGAAGAATTGTATGCAGTTGCTCAGCAAGTACGGTAGTTCACCTGAACAAGATGGTATCTTAAAGCGAGAAGGTAAAATAGTGAAGGCTGGCCCTGTTAGAAGCTAGAATGAATGATTAACACATAGGAGAATAGGGGAGATATATGGTTTGGGTTGTACCCTCTAAGAACATACCCTATCTAGCCTATTATTTCTACATAACAATATACCATGTATAAGTTGACACACCCCTTAGGGTAGATAAGGGGTAGTGCTGAGCAATAAACACGCAGCTCAGGGTGGCACTACTAGTCCAACCTCTGAGGCAGGGGCCCGAAGACCAGTCAGCAAGGGTACAAGCAAGACAAGAGCAAACCAGGGCGGCACTACTAGTCCGACCACTGGAAGAAAAGCCACAAGGCCAGTCTGGAAGGCATAAATGTTGTGAAGGTAGGATAGCTAGGATGCCATGACTATGGCGGCGAGGTTTAGCTAGGAGGTAGACGAGAATGTCGAGAGAGGAGAGGATTTGAACTAGAAGAGAATCAGGTACAAGGGGAGTTATCCTTGTCAACTTATACATATGTTCTATGTAAGTTATAAGCTAGACTAGGTGTGTGCTTCTAGTGAGTACAACCCAACAGGTATATGTTCTAGGTTTCTCTTCCTGGTAACCATTATCTCATTCTAACATGGTATCGAGAAGGTTAGGTCCACCCGCCCGCTTCCGCCCGCGCCCTAGCCTCTCGCCCCTCCCCTACCTACCTAGCCCATCCTGGCCCCGTCGCGCCCCCCTGGCCCCGTAGCGCCCTCCTGGCCCCCGTCGCGCCCTCCAGGCCCCGTAGCGCCCTTCTGGCCCCCGTCGCGCCCTCCCGGCCCTGTAGCGCCCTTCTGGCCCCTGTCGCGCCCCCCCAGGCCCTGTACGGTCCTCCTGGCCCCCACCGCGCCCTCCAGGCCCCGTAGCGCCCTCCTGGCCCCCGTCGCGCCCTCCAGGCCCCGTAGCGCCCTCCTAGCCCCCGTCGCGCCCTCCCGGCCCTGTAGCGCCCTTCTGGCCCCCGTCGCGCCCCCCAGGCCCCGTACGGCCCTCCTGGCCCCCGTCACGCCCTCCAGGCCCCGTAGCGCCCTCCTGGCCCTCGTCGCGCCCTCCAGGCTCCGTAGCGTCCTCCTGGCCCCCGTCGCGCCCTCCAGGCCCCGTAGCGCCCTCCTGGCCCCCCGTCGCGCCCTCGAAGCCCCGTAGTGCCATCCTGGCCCCTGTCACGCCCTCTCGGCCCCTGTCGCGCCCGCTAGGCCCCCGTCGCGCTCGCCTGGCCCCGTCGCGCCTGCCTGGCCCCGTCGCGCCTGCCTGGCCTCATCGCGCCTACCTGGCCGCGCCGCGCCCGCCTGGCCCCGTCGCGCCCGCCTGGCCCCGTCGCGCCCACTTGGCCCCGTCGCGCCTGCCTGGCCCCGCCGCGCCCGCCTGGCCCCGTCGCGCCCGCCTGGCCCCGTCGCGCCCGCCTGGCCCTCTTGCGTCCCGCTGGGCCCCACCGCGCCCGCCCGGCCTGTTGCGTGCGCCGGCCCTTCCTAGCTGGCCCGGTCCCCTTGCTAGTGCCGCCCGGCCCCTCCTAGTGCTGGCCCGGCCCTTCCTAGTGCCGCCCGGCCCTTTCACGCCCGCCAGGCTCCTAGCGCCCGCCCGGCCCCGCTACGCCTCTTCGACTTTCAGCGCCAGCCCGGCCCTTCCTACTGCCCACCCGGACCCTCCTCCTCCCTGCTCGGCCTGCCGTGCAACCTCGGGCCCTGTCTCCTCTGCTCGTCCGCCCTGCGGCGCCTCGCGGCCGCCCTGCTGGAGAGTGCTGCCGCCGTGTCCCTGCGACGCTGTGTTCTTGTGGAGCTGTGCTGCTGTGTCGCTGTGGAGCTGTGTCGCTGACCCTGCATGATGGCTGACTTCGTGCTCCGACAGGACGCTGAGGGCCACGCGATTGACTTCGCCGCCTGGCTCTCCGATCTCCGCCGCCACCTTACAGGTCAGCGCCAGGATGGCCACTCTTTGGTTGTCCATGTCGATGGCTTGCTCCCCCGCCCCCCTGCCCCTGCTCCCCTCCCTGCTGATCCCTCCTCTGATGACCGTGAGGCCTTCTCTACTGCTGCGCTTGCCTGTGCGGTGTGGGACTCCCGCGATGCAGTAGCTCATGTTGCTATTAGTCACGCCCTCCTGGGGTCTGAGCGCTCGCGTTTTGCTACAGTTGATACGGCCAACGCTTATTTGGACGCCGTTATTGCTCGCTATTCCACACCTGCACCCGCTTCTGCCGGCCGCTTGCTCTTCCCGATGCTGTTCCCAGACCTTGCTGCCTTCCCTACTCTCGCAGACTTTGCCACTCGCTTGCGTGCCCTAGAGACCCGCTATCGCACTGCCAGCACTGCTGCCCAGCTCACTGCGCTCCCCCCCCCTTCTGCATGACGCTCTATTTTATCACCATGCGCCTGCCGGACCGCCTAGCTAGTGCTCGCGACCACTTCCTTAGCCAGCACCCAGGTGACCTCACTCTGACCGCCTTTGTCGACACCCTCACCGAGATCGAGACTCGCCAGCGCACTATCGCTCAGTCGAGCGGTGCGCCGGCAGTCTCTATCTTTCACGGCTATGCCCCCTCCCAGTGCACGTTTACTGACGTTTCGGCTGCGGTCGCCTCTGCGACCCCCCTTACCGAGACTGCTGCTACGGTCCACCCGCAGCACCGCTCGCGTCGTGGTGGCCGTGGCCGCCAGGGAGGTCGGGGTGGTGGCACTGGGGGTGGTGGGAGTGGTGGTGGTGCGATACCGGATCTTATTACCCTGTGTACTCCAGTTTAGGTGTTGCACCCTTGTGTAGTTTAGCCTCCTCTGCTGCGTTAGGCGTAGGACTGCCTAGTTTGCCTAGCCTAGTCTCTGCACCGGCTCCGTTCCCGGCCTCCCCCACTGCTTCGCTGTCCTTCACTCTCGACTCCGGTGCTTCTGCCTGCTTCTTTCGCGACCGTTCTACGCTCACGCCACTTTCTGCGCCTGCTGTCGTCTCTCTCGCTGACCCCTCTACGGGTCCTGTCATCGCTCGCAGCTCCACTTCCCTTCCCTGTCCAGCAGTTCCCTCGGGCTCCCTTATAGGCCTCCACGTTCCCTCGTTCTCGAGGAACCTGGTTGGTGTCGGCTGTCTCCAGGACCTTGGCGTCACCACTACGTTCCCCGGGCACGAGCGGTTCATTGTCTGTTCTGAGGCTGTCTCAGGTTCCCCCCTTGCGACGTTCCCCCGGGACCCGGTGTCCGGTCTGTTCACCCTAGACACTGCTTCCCCCCTGGTTGGTGCGTCCTCCCAGGCTTGTGTCGGTCCCTCACTCACCCGTCCCTTCTGTGGAACCACTGCTTAGGTCACCCTGCTCTCCCTCGTCTGCGTCACATGTCCCAGCACGGTCTTGTCTTAGGCCTCCCCGCCCTTCCCCCCTCGACTGCGTCACCGTGCACGCCCTGCGTCGAGGGCCGGCTCCGCCGTGCTCCTTACTCCTCCTCGCTGCGGCCTGCTACTGCCCCCCTTCAGACCCTGCACCTGGACGTCTGGGGCCTTGCTCCCGTCCCCGGACCGCGTGGTGAGCGCTACTTCCTTGTGCTCATCGATGATTACACGCGCTACACCACGGTGTTTCCCCTGGAGCGGAAGGCCGACGTGCCCGACGTTCTTCTCCCGTGGGTTGTGGCTGCGCGTCTTCACCGCGGTCTCCCCGTGTTGTGTCTCCACTCTGACCGTGGCGGCGAGTTCGCCTCTGGTCGGCTTGGACAGTTCTGTCGTGCGGAGGGCATCACCCAGTCGTACACCTTGCCGGACTCGCCACAGCAAAATGGGGTTGCTGAGCGCCGCATCGGCTTGGTCATGGAGGTTGCTCGTACCTCCATGATTCATGCCGATGCCCCCCATTTTCTGTGGCCGTTCGCTGTTCGCTATGCTGCTCACCAGCTTAACTTGTGGCCACGCTCCCAGCGGCCGCAGGTTTCGCCGACCCTCCTTTGGACCGGGTCCCCCGGTGACGCGTCTGCGTTCCACGTCTGGGGTTGCCTTGCTCACGTTCGTGCCTCTGGCACGGACAAGCTCACTGCCCGCAGTGTCCCCTGTGTCTTCCTCGGTTTCCCCCTTGACTCGTCTGACTGGCTTTTCTACCACCCGTCGTGTACCGCTTCCTCCACTCTCGTGACGTCACCTTTGACAAGTCTGTCTCCTTCTACCGCCGCTTCCCTCACCGAGGTCTCCTGGTTGCCCCGCCCCTGTTCCTTGCTCCCTCTTCCCCGGTAGCCCCTGCTCCTCTCCCGCCTTGTCCTGCCCCGTCTGGTGTCTCTCACGTTACTCCCCTCCCGTCGGTTGTCCCCGTTGAGGAGTCTGCTGACTCTGGTGGTACCCCCGGCCCGTCCTTGCCGCGTCCCCCTCCCCCGGTGTCTCCGCCCCCACTGTCGCAGTCGCTGACTCCGCCGCAGCCGCCACCGCCGTCGCCGCCGCGGCCGCTGCCGCCGCCACCGCCGCTGTCGCCGCCGCTGCCGACGCCGCTGCTGCCGCCGCCGCGCTTGGCCTCTGGGGGTGCTGGCGTTGAGGAGGGTGTTCGTCCTGCGGCCCCTTGAGGTGCCGCTGGTGTTGGGGGGGTTCTCGCTCTGGGGGTGTTGGTTCTAGGGGTGCTGCTGTTGAGTGTTCTGCCGGCGGTCGTCCTGCCAGTTCGAGGGATCCGGCCCAGCAGACGCAGCAGCCGCAGCAGCCGTCGCCGCCGGTCTCCGCTCTCCGCCTGCTCGGCCTTCCCTCCCCTGACCGCTTGCCGGTGTCTCCCCCACTGCCTCCTGACTTTCCTGTTTACGTTCCTGTGTTCCTGTCGCCGGACTCGTCTCCGACCCGTCCTCCTCCTCGTTCCCCTCTTGTGTCCCTTCCGCTGTCTCCTGACCCTACACCTCCGTCCCACGTTTGGTCTCGCCGTCCCTCCCGTGCTCGTTCCGTCTCTCCTGTCCTGCGCTCCCACTCTATGTTGCTCCGTTCCCACTCGTCTCGTCCTCCCCTCCTCCCGTCGCCTCCTCCCTCGTCGCTTGCTGTTGCACCTCCTCCGTTGTCTGACTACCTCCGCGCCGCTCGTCCCCTTGTCCCTCGGGTCCTTGCCTCTCTTGTTACCGACCCTTCTGTTCCTGTCTCGCGCCTTGACGCGCTTGTCGCTGCTGTCGCTGACTTCGCCT